TCTCGGCGCATCCCGGCGCATCTCGGCGCATCTCGGCGCATCCCGGCGCATCTCGGCGGTCCCGCACCCGCCGTGCTCCTCCCAGTAGCGGATGAGCGGCTGTGGTGGCGGCGGCACTGCGCCGTCCACGTCCCACACAAGCTTGAGGTGCGGCACCTGCGGGAGACGCGGCGAGGTTGCGGCGAGGCGGGAGCCTCACGTCCGGGCACATCATCGGCACGTCTGGGCACGTCTGGGCACGTCTGGGCACGTCTGGGCACGTCTGGGCGCGCCTCCGGCGTGAGCCTCTTGACCCGCTCCTTGCTGTAGCCGAGCGGGTGAGAGACGTACCGCACGCCGTCGAGCGAGAAGTCCTTTGGGCGGTGGCTGTGCCTATGTGGTGGGCCGTGTCGCGGGCCGTGTCGCGGACCGGTGGGTGCCGCGGGCGTGTCGTCCCGCCCCTTTGGTGATGGGCGCGCCCGAATGCGTGCACGTGACAGACGCCGTCGGGCGGCCGCTGCACGCCCGCCGTGAGCCGGCGGAGCTGCTCGTCGATGAGGCGCGAGCCTGAGGGAAGGTTCCGGGACGTGTCTCGGACGGGGCCGGGCCGGGGCTGGGAAGAGGCCGATCGTCGTCGAGCCTGCGACGCGCGAGAAGTTGACTGCGGTCCCTCCGGCGGGGTGTGAGACCCAGTCGGGAGAGAAGGAGAGGCCGGCGGGGTCGAGCCAGTCCGGCAGCGTCTGCTCGCGCGGGAGAAAGTGCGAGAAGGAGAGCACCGCGTCGCCGACCGCTCCGCAGAGCGCCTCGTTGACCTCCCGGACCGAGGGCTCGTTCCTCTCCGCGAGCTTGCACGCCACGCCCGCCGGGTAGTGGCCCGTCATCGTGTCCGACGGCCGCAGCAGCGCGGCCGGCCACTTGCAGAGCGCAAAGTCCGACCACGTGAAGGCGCGCATGTCGCCGGCGCGGTGGATGAGCGACGGAGTGAAGTGGGTGAGGTCGAGCGAGTCGTCGTACCACGAGGCGAGAGGCACGACCCACAGGCCCTGCCCGGGCTTGTGCGCCCCCGACCCGTCCCCTCTCAGCAGCCGCGGCGTCGAGTGCACGTTGCCCATCCGGTCGCAGAGCCGGTCGATGGCGTCGAGCTTTGCGAGCGAGTCCATGCCGCCGTCGTTGCGCGTGATCCAGAGGTCGTGGTTGCCCGCTGTGAAGAAGACGTGGGCGAAGCGCTCCGAGAAGGCGCGCAGCGTCGCCTCCAGCTGCTCCATCTGGTGCGACACGTCTCCCGCCACGACGACCGCATCGCCCGGGTGCTGCGGTAGCGAGCGGAGCCACGCCATGTTCTCGGCCCGGTCGGTGTGCACGTCCGAGGTGAGCCACACCCTGGGGTACACGCGCTGCTCGGCCGGCGGCTCCTGTCCGCCCGACTCAAAATAGTACACCGCCTCCTCCTCTGTCCAGGAAAGCATGTGATTCGCGACCGGCAAGTCGTCCGCCATGCAGTCGGCCTGCAGCTCGGCCAGCCGCTCGCACGACGCCACCCTGCGCGACAGCGGCATCGCCGCCGCCGCCGGGGCGCCTCGACGCGCGCTGCTCGAGTCCTGCCGCTCTGCAGCACGCCGCCCACACAGCGACCGGACCAACGCGCTTGGCCCTGGATCGAAGGGTGTCGACTCCTTGAGGTGCGTGAAGTCAACTTGGCACGACCGACCGCGTCGCTACGCGCTGTCTTCCGCTGTCGAAGGTAGTCGAGTGCCTCCTGAACGTGTGACCCTGTTGTCAGGCATGTCTCTTGTCTGGTTGTCACACTGCGATTTCGGGCTGTTTGCTTTTACGTGAAGGTGTGGGTGGTACTCGACAAGACAGGGGGGTTGGACGGGATCCGAACGGCGCGTTTTTCTTTTCTTGAAAAACAAATCTCGCCGCGTGTGTGGTGCCCGTCGTGTGCTCGTACTGTCACGCTCGTTGCTGCTCGGTCTTTCCGGGCTCTCGTGCACCATGCTGCTCCAGACGGCGCTCGACTCGTTGTTTGTCCGACGGGGCGCTCACTCTCCGCGGCCACTCCCTCTGCTGCAGGGCGCGGCGCTCCTCGTGTTTGCCTACCTGTGCACCGGAGAGCTCCTCCCACTTCCCGTCCTCCGGGCGAGCAAGGTGCTGCAGGGCTGGGCGGTGCAGCAGGTGCTCCTGATCGCAGCGCTCTCCTGCTTGGCCGTGCTCGCCGGCGCCAGCGCCGGCGTCGGTCGCGGCTGCCCGCCGCTGCCGGCCGCGTGTGCTGGCCGCGCTGAACACCGCTCCCATCGCGGCTGCGGTCGCTGCGCTGCACTTGACGATGTCCGACGCTTGCCCCGTGGCGCCTGGCCGGCCGTGCGACACGCCGTCTATCCTCGCCGACGTGGTCGGCCTCATCTCCGCGCGGCTGGCCCGGCTCGACCTCGGCGTCTGCCTGCTGCTCGCCGCCCGTGGAGAGGCGGCCGTGCTGCACGCCACCGGGGGGCATCTGGGATACTCGGAGGTTTGGCCGCCCGCTCCACCCGCCTCGGACCCGAGCATCTTGGACCCTGATACACCATGGCCCCTCTCCAGCAGCACCCTCGTGCGGCACACCACCCCTCTCCAGCAGCAATCCTCGGGCGGCACACCGCCCCTCCTCCCCTCTCCAGCAGCACCACCCTCGGCACACCGCCCCTCCTCCCCTCTCCAGCCTGGCCGCTCGCCTCCCTGCCCTCTCCCTGGCCCCGCCGCTCCTGAACGCTCGCCTCCCTCCCGACCCACAGGCGCAGCCGCTCCACCGCGCCGCGGGGTGGTGGTGCGCGGGGCAGTCCGCCCTGCACTCGCTCGCCTACTTCTTCTTCTACCTGCGCGCCGGCGGCGCCGCCTCCCTCTGGCAAGCCTGCTTCCCCGCGCCCTTGCCCGACGGCTCGCTCAACCGGCTCGGGCTCGTCAACTTCATGGGGGTGGTCGCCATCGCGGTGTGCGGGCCGCTGGCGCTCTCCGCGCTGCCCCTGGTGCGGCGGCGCTGCTACCACGCCTTCCAGCGCCTTCACATGCCCGTCGCCCTCCTCTTCGTGACCTGCTGCGCGCTGCACGACCTCGCAATCCTCACCTTCGCGGTGCCGGGCATCGCATTCTGGTACGTAGAGTGGCGTGGGCGTGGCGGCCGAAAGGGCGTGCTGGGCTGCTCGCTGCGGCGGTTCACCGCCACGGCGCGTCTGCTGCCCGGCACGTCGGGACCGTGGGCAGAGCTCACGATCCATTGCGGCGGCGCGGCGCTGGGCCACGACGCGGCACCGCGCGGCGAGTGGGTGTCGCTGCGGGCGCCCGCTCGGCAGTGGCTGCTGGCGTCCGATCAGTGACTCTTCACTGACCAGTCGCCCCCACTCGTTCATCAGGCGCTCCCACTCGGCACTGAGTGGCACCCGCTCTCGGTGACCAGCGCCGGCGGTCGCACGGCGGGGCTCTCCGCCCTCGTCTCCGCGCGGGGGGGCGACTGGACAAAGGCGCTCGTCCACCTCTGCGCGACGACGGGCAGCTTTGAGGTTGAGCTCGCGGGGCCCTTCCCCTTCGGCGGCGGCCCCTGGTCCCTGAGCGGCGGCGGCGGCGGAGGTGAGCCCGCGCTGCTGCTGCTGGCGGGAGGCACGGGGGTCACCGGCTGGCTGCCAGCGCTCGCCGCCGCGGCTAGCGAGGGCCGGCCGTGCCGCTTGGTCTGGTGCGTGCAGAACGAGGCCGACTACCACGCGCTCGCCGACCGGCTGCCGCGCAACGGCGGCGTCGAGGTGACTGTCTACATCACTCGTGCCGCGGCCGCGGCCGCGGTGGAAGCGGGGCGCGGCGGAGGCGGCATCGCCAGGTCTGGCGGCGACGAGCGAGCGTGGGGCTCGACGCGCGCAGCGCACTCCTCCGCAGGCTCGTTGGTGTCGGCGTCGCTCGCGGCGACGCTCGTGGGACTGGCTGCGGGGCAGTGGGGGTGGGCGTACGTGGCGGAGGCGCTGGAGCTCCCTCTCGACGCTGGCTGGCTGCACCACAGCCTGGTTGGCTACACGCTGTCGCGGCGGTGCCTGCCCGTCCTCCTCATCGTTGCGTCCATCGCCGCGACGACGGCGGTCTGCAGCCGCGCCTTTGGATTCGCGGCGGGGCGCTGTCAGCCTTGCGACCTAGAGCTGGCTCCCGTCAGCCCACGCCGCCACGACCCCCTCCTGGCGGCGTCGCGACAGCGGCAGCGGGGCGGCTTCGCTCCCGCCGGCGGGCCGGCGGGCGACGAGGCGGGCCAGCGTGTCTGCGCCGGGCGGCCGGACTTCGATGCACTGGTGCGCGCTGCTGCGGTGGGGCTCGAGGCGAAGCGGCTTGTGGTTGCAGCTTGCGGGCCGGCGAGCATGGTGGAGGGCGCTCGCAGCGCGGTGGCGAAGATCCGAGCGGAGTGCCGCGGCGAGGTGCGCTTTGAGTTCTCAGGGGGCGACTCGAGGTGGTGAGATTGATCACCGGCGGCGGGTGGACGGGAACACGCACACCTCGCACGGGCGTCGGTCGATCAGGGAAAGACAAAACCAATTCGAATTGCCTTTCCAATTTTTGCCAAGGCACCGCTGCGGCTGGGGGCTGGGGCGGGGTCGTAAGAGATTCTTTATTTATTCTCCCCCCCCGCCGCCTGTGTGTATCTCGAGACCTCGGCAGTAGCTCCCAGCTCGTCGAGGGCTGTGTCGCTGCCTTTCGATGCGCCTACTCGTTCTGCTTGGCCTGCTTGCGGGGCTCGCGGCCACTCTAAGAACGGGCGACGCCCTCGGCTCGGACTCGATTGTGCACGCCAGCATCGACCTCGACGGGCGGTCTGGGGGCACCTCCCGGCAAGCGGGCGGCGCCAGCCGCGGGCCGAACGCCTTCGCGTCGCTCGGCGAGGACGCGGGCGCGGAGGCGGCCGCGGTTCTCAATGTTCAGGGCGATTTTGCCGGCATCGCGACCTGCGTGAATTCGTGCAAGGCGCTATGCACGTCAACCCGTGCGAAGTGTCTGATGAAGGCGTACTCGGATGGGCGAGGCCCGTCCATCCAACAGTTGTGGTGGGGAGCCCCTCTCGACAAATACCCGGGGTACGACGGCCCTCTCCCGTCCATGCTCTCGGAGGGGGATTGCATCGCTCACATCCTCTTGGGCGCGAGCGTTGGCGATCCCGGAGCTGACGTCGCGCTCGTGGAGATGGGCACGTGGTTGGGCGCCGCGAGCGTCTGCACTGCCGCGGGCCTGAGCCTCGCGCGTTCGACTGTGGAATACCACGCCTTTGATCTATTCAGTATGCCCCCCTCCAAGCATAGGGATAACACAAACTTTCACAAGCTGCACGTCGCCAGGGACGTGCCACCCGTGAAGGCGTTGATCGAATCGCCGGATCACCGCTACGAGGCCATGTGGAACGAGATCGTGACGCAGGTGTACCCGTCCAAGCGAGTGCACTCGCATGCGGGGTTCATCGGAAGCACCGGAGTGGGCGGTGCGAGCGCAGATTGGAACGACAAGAAGGTCGGGCTGTTCATGATCGATTCGGCAAAGGATTATCACCAGCTCGTCTTACAATCACACGCGGTGTGGAACAAGCTCCGTCCGGGGTCTGTCGTGCTCTTCTCGGACTTTCTCATGCCCCTCAAATCGTGCAGCAATGCGGTGCGCGCAAACTTCAGCCAGATCCAATCCGTACCCGGGTTCGTGTACCGATCACTCGTCGAGAAAGGCCTGTTCAAGCTCCTGTGGGTCTTCCCCAAGAGCCAGCAGGTCGCGTTTGAGGTGACGGACAAGTACCAACCGTCCAGGGCGCAGGAGTACCTCACGAGGTGCACATACCCTAAGCAGAAATGCCCGCCGAAGCCGGATTGGGCCGCGAGGTTCCACGGGGAAATCAAGGGCAACCTGAGGGATCGCAGATACTCGACCGGCTTCTTCATGAAGCAGATGAATCGCACGAAGAACATCTTCAAGTGCGACCAGTAGGTGCGTAGGCGCGCGACTCGCCGCACACTAAAAAAATACTTAATCAGGGGAAGCGCTAGGGAAGCGCATTATAGTAGATTTTGGTACCAAGCTAACTTTACAACTGTGAGGTTACCTTTGGTTCACGGTACTCGGTAGCTAACACCGCAACAGGGGGAAAACTGCAACTGGAATCCGATCAACGAATCGGGAACCCCAAAACAATGGTGCGCCAGCCACACCCGGGAACCCCAAAACAATGGTGCGCCAGCCACACCCGGAGCTCTTTCAATGCCACGCGTTGAACGGCAGCCGCCTGCCGTCCCGAGGCCGGAGCACGTCGAACGGCTGCGGCAGCTCTCCGTCACGCTCCAGCCGCACCGCCGGCTGCAGCGCGCGGAAGGCGTCGCGCACTCCGAGGCGCGCGAGCCACGCGTCGACCCTCCGGAGCTCGAGCTCGCGGCTCGGTGCGAGGGCGAGGCCCCAGTACTCGTCGAGGGGGCGCTGTGCGCGCCACGCCGAGTAAGCGAGCAGCCGCCGCTCGCCCGCCACGCCGCCCGCGACAAAGGGCGCGTAGCCAAAGGCGCGCGGCGTCCGTGCCGCGTCCGGGTGCGCGGCGGCGTGCTCGTCGACGGCGGCGCAGGCCAGCTGCAAGAAGGGCCACTGCTCGTCGAAGAGCGCGCGGAAGAGCGGGTCGAGCGTCTCGGGCACCTCGTCGTCGGGAAGGAACTTCGCCGCCGAGCCGCTCGCCGAGTCGGGCGACGTCGAGGCTGGCGTCGCCGCCGCGTCGCGCGCAGCCAGCTGCGGAAAAGCGGCGTCGGCGGCGTGGCCGTGCAGCCGCTCGAACCAGCGCACGACGTGCGGCGCGCCGTCGAACATGGCACGCGAGTGCGGGTCGCGGTAGAGGTGCGCCCACAGAGGCCCGTACAGCGCAAAGTCGGCGCGGCAGGGGACGCCGCCGAGCAGGTACGGCTGCGGGCCTCCGCCGGCGGCGCTGCCCGCGGCAAGGTGCCGCTCGAGGGTGCCGATGAGCCTTGGGGTAGGGTTGGGGTGAGGGTGAGGGTGAGGGTGAGGGTGAAGGTGAAGGTGAGGGTGAGGGTGAGGGTTGGGTTGGGGTTGGGCACCGCTCGGTGAAGGACTCGATGCCGGCGAGGGCCGGGGAGACGGCGCCGTGCACCCGGCACAGTGCCCGCATCCGGTCGGCCACCGGCTGCGCGAGCCGCGAGGCGATCAACGACGGCAGCATCGGGAACGCGCAGCGGCCAAACTCGGAGACGGCCCAGTCGGCGTTGCCCGTGTTCCACCGATAGTGCAGAGCCACCATCGGCAGCCACTCGTCGGCGTGCAGCTCGAGCAACGAGGCTGCCAGCCGCTGCGTAGCGCCAGGAGGCCGCGTCGGTCGGTCGGGGTGGTTGCGCTCCACCTCGTCGCAGATCAGGGCGCTGTCTTGACGCCAGCTGCCGTCGCCCAGCCTGACCGCCGGCATAATGACGCGGCCAACCGCCGGCTTGACGGTCAGGCGCAGCTGCATGGCCGACGGAACGACGTCGCTGAACGGTAACCGCTTGTACGACAGCATCGAGCGGACCTTTGCGGTGTACGGCGACGCCATCCAACCATAGAGCCGGCAGCCAGCGTACGAGGCGCGATCGAGGGAGGTGGGCACGGCACGCTTGAAGGCGAGGCCGGCCTGGTTTGGGTGCGGCATGACGGCGGAGTTCGTGCGTGGCAGCGTCGGATGGATGAGAGCTGCGGTGTGGTGAACCAGGAAAAGAATTTTCCCGACGCAAGAATTGACCTGAAAAGGAAAAGGAACACAAGCGTAAACGGCGAGAAGTGGGCGGATCTGTGTAACCTGGTCGCTTATGTTGCTGCCAAAAAAACCCGTCGACTTCGCCTGCAGCACCGAGCCCTCACACCTGGTCGCCTTTGCAGCCTCTCACCCCATTGGCCATTGAGAGATGGCTGGGCCGGAAATTGACGCCGATTGTGCCCTTTTCGATGACCTGTCACACGACATGCAGCTGGCGATCCTCATTCGCCTGCCGGCCCACTCGCACGCACCCGCAGCTGCAGTGTGCTCAGCGTTCAAGGCGCTGATGAGCAACTCAGAGTTCAAGATCCAGCGCCGTGCCGCGGGGTACGAAGAGCAGTACCTCGTCGCCGCCGCCGGCTACGGTGGCAACTGCTGTGCGGACGCTGGCTGCGCCGTGCGTACGGCGTCAGGCTGGGCTCGGCTGCCAGACCTGCCTCCGCACATGCCCGAAAGGCCAGACCTTCCGGGCGTGAGCGAGAGCGCAGCCGTCGTCGTCGGCGACAGCTTCTACCTCCTTGGCGGCGAGGGCTCGGGCGAGCCGGGAACCGGCACGGACAGCGTTTTCTCCATCCAACCGCACCGGCGCGGCTGCGATCTCTCCTGGCACTATGAGCCAAAGATGCCGGCGTCGCTTTGCTACCACGTGGCTGGCGCGCACGATGGCATCATCGTCGTGACGGGCGGTCGCTGCGACGATGACGCACAAGGATGGTACGGCGAGACGGGCACCTCGAGCGCGTCGACGTTCCGGTTCAACGTGGAGAGCGGGACGTGGACGGAGGGCGCACGGATGCCAGCGCCGCGTCAGGGTGCGGTGGGCGCCGTCATCGACGGCGTGCTGCACGTGCTCGGTGGCTTCGCGGAAGATTGGGAAGGAGGCGACGAGGACGGACGAGTCTATGACGGGGCCATCGTCTACTCCTATGACGTTGCTGCCAACACGTGGAAGGAGCGAGCGCCGTCCGGCCGACACGTTGTGCAGTGGAGCACGTACCACGATGTGATTTCGGCGGTGGCGAAGGGTGGCAAGATGTACTTGCTCTCCAAGGAGACCGCGTTTACAGCCAATTCATACAGCACGACCATCCACCTCTACATCTTCGATCCGGCGACCTTCACCTTCACGCGCGGCCCTGACCTTCCATCGAATCGCAGCACTGGCTATGGCGGTGTCCGTCTCGGCGTGTTCAATGGCGAGGTGACTGCCGTTGGCTTGTTCCGCGATCAAGGCTGCTACGTCCTGGACGAGTGCCGCGAGCACTGGAACGCGGTGACCCCCGCCGAGGGCGCCACGCACTTCGTCTGCCCCATGACGTCAGTGGCGACAGTCTACAAGTGAGAACGGGGCTGCGCCAGCGGAGCCGGAGGCCTCGGGAGTGTCCCGCCGGCCGGCCGGTAGCGAGCGAGCCTGTTCAGCTCCGTAGCGAGCCAGACGCGCGCGCGGGAAAAGGGGGGGGGGGGGGGGCTTCGACACAGAGCTCTGCGGGGAACGTTGACAGCGAACGTTGATCACCCAGTGATCACACACCCAGTGACACGTGGACGGGACGCGGCGCATGCGCCCAATGCCTGTTACATGACATGCAATACGTGCCGGGGCCGTACTCGAGGCGAGCCGGGTGTACTCGAGCAAAAGAATTCGCGGAAAACCTGGTCTCAGTACCCCCCTCTTCTCCTCCTTGCCTCGCCTCGAGCCTCGAGGGCGTGCGAGGCCTTCGCCCGCCGGCGCTCGAGGTCGAGCCGCGGCGCGGTTCAATGACAATGTGCGCGCGGCGGCGGAGCAGAAGGCGCTCCAGGCGGGCTCGGCGCCGGGGAGGCGGCAGTCCGGCGTGGGGCAGCCACGACCGCTGCCCCCTCGGGTGGGAAATTCTCTCTTGTCCCGTGGTGTACCTGTGTTAGTGCCAGTGCGCGCCAGTCCCGTGCCTACCCGGGTAGTTAGTGTTGTTTGTGAGAGGGAGTTTTCTTGTAAATTTCTCTCTTGGAAACTCGTACGTTCATCGGAAAAGTAATCTGAATTCCGAGCAGAGCTACATGCAGGAGGCTCATCAAAGGTAACATGTGGAATCCGAATAAATGCGAGCAGAATTTGTCCCGGACGAGCGGTTTTGGGCTTGCACAAATCTGTTACAACCGCCGACCCTTCAGTGCCGATGCGCAATGGTGACCGCGTTGTTGTGCTCCAGGCAAAGGGCGTCAACAGAGAGGAAAGGGGCACAGCGGTGAGCGACGTCAACGGCGGCGGCTGGTTCAACGTGAAGCTCGATGGCAGCGAGCAACAGGTATCGGTTAGGAACAGCCCGGGCAAGACGTTTGTATTGGAGTCGTCGCAAGTGCAAGCCGTCACACCACCACGCCCGGCGGTCAATACCACATCAAAGTCCCCGCCCTCCCCGGTGCCGATTGCTTGGATGTCTCAACCGGTGTCGGTGGAGAAGGAGGTGATCCGTGAGGTGATCCGTGAGGTCCATTACATGCCAGCCCCGGCCCCGGATACCCCTGCTCCAACCCCCAAATCGGAGATTTGCTGTTGCGTTGTGTCGTAGTGACGGCCACATAAAAAGAGGCGAGGGCAGGGAGTAGGGCAGTACTCTATGAGTCGTCCCTCTCACTCCCGGAAAAGAGTGGGTTTTTTCTGTCTTGTGTGCGAGTAACGATTTCCTTCTATCAGCTTCACGAACACGCGATGCGAGTACTCTCTCTGTCGCGCGCTGCATGCACATGTACGACAACGAACATTCGCCTCACAATTTGCGCCCCTCGCCCGCACACGGATGCATGTACGTACTGTGATCCCTCCTTCATCAGTCGATATCGGTGTACTCCGACTCGCTCTCACCTTCGTCGGTGGTGTCGCCCGTGGGAGCGTAGGCGACGGGCCCTGCGCCGTCGATGTTGCCGCCTTCGCCCTCAGACCCGAAGCCGCCGACCCCGTTGCCGCCGCCGCCGCCGCCGTCGTTGCCGCCGCCTGGCGCCTGCAGCTGGCTGACCGCTGCGGCGAGCGCCTCCCCGTGGCCCGCATCGACGCAGCGGATGACCTCCTTCGCGAGCTCGGGCGAGATCTGCAGCTTCTGCTCAAAGGCCTTGAGCGTGGTGAGGCTGCCGACGCACGCCGCCACCGCCGCCGCCGCCGCCGCCACCGCCGCCGCCGCCGCCGCCGCCGCCGCCGCCGCCGCGCCGCCGCCGCCGCCGCCGCCGCCGCCGGCCGGGCCGGCCGGCGGGGCGGGGTGGGACGGGCCGTCGTCCACGTCAAAGTCTCGCCCGCGTTCGCTCGCCTTGACGGCGTCGGGCGCCTATGGGACATGTCTCGGGCATGACGTGGACGCGTCTTGGAAAGGTCCGCCTCGCGCTTCGCGTCGGGCGCCTTGCCGACGACGTCGGCCGCGCGATGCACGTGCGCTGCAAACTCTCCGAGCTCCTCCCCAAACTCCTTGGCCAGCCCCTGCTCGTCGTCCTCGTCGAACGCCCCGCCCGCAGCGCCGCGCGCCGCCCGCGCAGCCGCGAGGTCGCGGTGGTCCACGGCGATGTCGTAGTCGTCCCCCTCGCCGCCGCCGCCGCCGCCGCCGCCGCCGCCCTCCTCCTCGTCGAGTGCGCCCTTCTGGCCCGGTTGATGATCTCCCGCGTGCCCCAAAAGGAAGCGTCCTTCAGCCGGCTTCTCGAGCAGGTTGTGGAAGCCCTCGAGCTCTCCCGACTTGAAGTAGCGCGCCTCATCGGCGCCGCGCAGCGCGACGTTCTCCTGCGTCTGCTTGTACAGCTGGCGGAGGTACATCTTCTCCTCGAGCGTGTCCGACGAGACGAGGCGGTAGACGTTGACGTCGTGCCTGCGGCGAGGGGGGGGGGGGGGGGGAACCGTTGGGGGAGGGCGGCAGTGCGAGGCTGGATGGCGGCGGGCGGCGGGCGGGCGGCGCTTGCCGTTGTCCGATGCGGTAGGCGCGGTCTTGCGCCTGCATGTCGTGCGACGGGTTCCAGTTCGGGTCGAAGATGACGACGACGGTGGCGGCGACGAGGTTGAGGCCGAGGCCGCCCGCCTTTGTGGAGAGGAGGAAGACGAAGATGGACTCCTGGGTGTTGAACTCGTCGACGAGCTGCGTGCGCCTACCGAGACGCGCCGAGATTCGCCGAGATGCGCCGAGACTGGGACGCGCTCGCCCCACGAGCCGCGTGCGCGCTTCTTTGCGGAGGTCTTGCCGTCGAGGCGGCGGTAGTTGTAGCCCGCCCGCGCGACCATGTCCTGTGGACATGTCTCGGACATGTCACGGACGTGTCCCGGACATGTCCGCCCCCCGCCCGCGAGGCGCTGTCCTCGAGGATGTCGAGCATGACAGTCGAGTACGAGAAGAGGAGCACCTTTGCACTCCGCAGCCGCCACGTGCTCAGCAGCCCTCTGAGCGCGCGCATCTTGCCGCACTTGTCGACGCTGCCGCGCGAGAGGAAGGTGTTGTCGCGCGTCGTCGCGCCCGCGCCGAGCGCCATCTCCGCAAAGTCCTGCTGCTTCGCGCGCTGCCCGGGCTTCATCGGCTCGTCGGGGTCGGGCTTGAGCATCTCGAGGTGGTTGCACACCTTGAGCAGGAAGGACATCGCCGGCATGCCGATGCAGCTCGGGCACCACTTGCACGCCTCGCCGTCGGGGTGGTGGTGCCGCGCGAGCACGCCGTCCATGTCGAGCTTGCAGCACTTCGAGTAGCACTCGTCCTCGTTCCCGCACATGTAGCAGGGCCTCTCGTGCATGTTGCGGAGGGCGACGTAGTCGGGCGAGTCGAGCACGCGCGCGTACACCTGATCTCTCGGGTGATCCCGGGTGATCTCGGCTGATCCCGGCTGATCTCGGCTCATCTCGGCCGAGGCTCGCCTCGCGCTGCGCGTCGGCGAGCTTGCAAAACACGATGTTGTCCGTCTTCTTCGGCATCTCGCCCGAGAGCACCTGGCCTCGGGGGGGCCGCGGGTCACCTCGTCTCCTCTCGCTCCGTCTCGGCGCGCCGTCTTCTCCCGCCTCCCTTCTCCCTTCTCCCTTCTCCCTTCTCCCGCCTCCCTTCTCCCGCCTCTCTTCTCCCGCCCCTCTTCTCCCGCCCCTCTTCTCCCGCCTCCCGCCTCTCTTCTCCCGCCCCTCTTCTCCCGCCTCCCGCCTCTCTTCTCCCGCCCCTCTTCTCCCGCCTCCCGCCTCTCTTCTCCCGCCTCTCGAGAGAGCGCCTCCTTGGTGCGCTGCAGCATCCACTCGTCAATCAGCCGGCGCAGGTCCGCCTGCCGCAGGATGCGCTGGCGCAGCTCGTGCTGCGACGCGTCCATCTTCATGCCCGCCTTGAGCGCCTTCTCGTAGTACTGCTTGAAGTCCTTCTTGTCGCCGACGTGCGACTTGGACACAAAATCGAGCAGCGCCCACAGCTCCATGTGGTTGTTGGACATCGGCGTGCCTGCTCGCCGCACCAGGAGGGTGGGCGAGGAAAAGAGAGCCCCCGCTGGCGGCGACGCCGGCGGACGGCAACGATCTCGGCTAGCCTCGGCTAGTCTCGGCTAGCCTCGGCTAGTCTCGGCTAGCCTCGGCTAGCCTCGGCTAGTCTCGGCTGCTAGTCTCGCGCCCGTCAGCGCGAAGCGCGAGGGGCACGCCACCCGCTGCGCGCTCTCCGTCACCTTGGCCTTAGGGTTCTTGAGCTTGTGCGCCTCGTCCCACACCGTCGCCTCCCACGGGTGGCCCGCGAGGTCTCTCTGGCAGTTGACCACCGTCTCGTACGTCGTGAGCACAACCTCGCACTCGCGGCTCGCCAGCGCGCGCAGCGCCGCCTCCTTCTCCGCCCCGTGGCAGACCGCCAGCCGGAAGCAGCCCCAGGTGCGGAACTCGCGCTTCCAGTTGCCCAGCGTCGACATCGGGACGACGACGAGCACCTGCTCATCCCCCCTCTCGCTGATTCCCCTCCCGGCCCCTCTCGGCCCCTCTCGGCTTCTCCCGGCTCCTCTCGGCTCCTCTCGGCTCCTCTCGGCTCCTCTCGGCCCCTCTCGGCTCCTCTCGGCCTCTCTCGGCCCCTCTCGGCCCCTCTCGGCCTCTCTCGGCCCCTCTCGGCTCCTCTCGGCCCCTCTCGGCCCCTCTCGGCCCCTCTCGGCCCCTCTCGGCCTCTCTCGGCTCCTCTCGGCTCCTCTCGGCCCCTCTCGGCCCCTCTCGGCCTCTCTCGGCTCCTCTCGGCCCCTCTCGGCTCCTCTCGGCTCCTCTCGGCCCCTCTCGGCCCCTCTCGGCCTCTCTCGGCCCCTCTCGGCCCCTCTCGGCCTCTCTCGGCTCCTCTCGGCTCCTCTGGGCTTCTCTCGGCTCCTCTCGGCCCCTCTCGGCCCCTCTCGGCCCCTCTCGGCCCCTCTCGGCCTCTCTCGGCTCCTCTCGGCCCCTCTCGGCCCCTCTCGGCCCCTCTCGGCCTCTCTCGGCTCCTCTCGGCCCCTCTCGGCTCCTCTCGGCTCCTCTCGGCCCCTCTCGGCCTCTCTCGGCCCCTCTCGGCCCCTCTCGGCCTCTCTCGGCTCCTCTCGGCTCCTCTGGGCTTCTCTCGGCTCCTCTCGGCTCCTCTCGGCTCGCCTCGCGGTGGTCGTCCTCGGGCAGAGGGAAGCGCCTCTGCCGGTCCTCCTCGGCCGCCGTCTTGCCGAGGACCGCGCCTGCAATCTCCAACGATCTCGGATCACCTCGGACGATCTGAGAATGCCGCCGCCGTGCCGAGCAACGCGCCGAGAGAGGCGAGCTGCGCCGAATCTCTCAATCTCGGGTCATCTCGGGTCATCTTGACGCACCGAGAAAGGCGATCGTCTGCACCGTCTTGCCGAGCCCCATCTCGTCGCCGAGGATGCCTCCCCGCCCGCGCGCGTACTGCCTCCACAGGAACTCGACGCCGGTCCTTTGGTACGACCGGAGCCGCCTAGCGGAAGGTGCATGGGAGGTTCATGCAGCCGCACTCCCACGCCACCCCCCTCCCCCCCTTGGGGTCGAGTGAGGCGCGCCGGTTGATAGCGGCCGGCACTGCTGCGCGGGGAGGGTAGAGCGACTCCCTTCCGGCCGGCAGCTGCGCGGGACGCGGCCTGGCGCCGAGCTCGATCGGGCCGGCAGTCGGGTCGATCGGGTCCGAAGTGAGCTTTGGCCAGCCGTCGCACGCGCCTGATTCAGTAATCACACTTTGCGGGACCCTCCTTTTCAAGCGTGTGCTTTGGCCAGCCGTCGCACGCGCCCTCGTCGTCGTCGTCCGTCGCGCTACCCGCGTCGTCCCCCGCCGCCCCCGCCTCAACGCCCTCCTCCACCTCCATCTCCTCCTCCCCCTCCACCTCCCACAGCACGTCGTCCGAGGGCGCGCCAACAGCTGCACCACCCCTGCCAAAAGCTGCGCCACCACTGCTGCTGCCCGCCGCAGCCCCGCCGCCGTCACCGCCGCCGCCACTGCCGCCGCCTTGGTCGCGCTTGACGCGCTTTGCGCTGCTTGTGCCAGCGCCGCCCCTGCCGCCGCCGCCCCTGCCGCCGCCCCTTCCTCCGCCTCTCCCGCCGCCCCGTCCTCCGCCCCTTCCTCCGCCGCCGCTCGTGCCGGCGCCAGAGGAGGAGGAGGAAGGGCCAGCGGGTGGCCGGCGCGCAGTCTTTGGGCGCTTGGGCTGCGGCTGGTCCTGGTTCCCGGCGGTCGACCGGTTGAGCCGGCTGAGGATGGCCGCAAGCCCGCCCCCCTCCTCCTCCTCGCCTGGGTGTGCCGGAGGGTGGCACGTGGGAGGGCGAGGGCGAGGGCGTGGGGAGAAAGGTGCACAGTCGTGGCGTGCGGGAATGGCGGGGTGCGTCGGAGCACGGCGCGCCTTCCGCGTCAGGCGCGGCCACGGTTGGAGAATCGGTCCCGCCGGCTGCGGCATGAGCGCCGCTGGGCGCGGCGGCAGCGGCAGCGCTGGGTGCGGCGGCGGTACTGGAGGGGCTCGCGCTGGTGGTGGGGCGGTCGGCGGGGAGTGTGTAGAGTCCGATAGCACCGAGGTCCGATGCCAGGGCGCTGCCAGGGGCGGCACCCGAGGGCAGCGGTCTGCTGTAGCTGTAGCTGCTGAAGCTGCTGCCGCCGCCGCAGCTGCCGTAGCTGGTCGCACTCGTTGCCGCAAACGCGCTGCCGCTCGGCGGCGGGGCGGGCTCGCTCGGCGCCGGCGCCGGCTCGTCGTCGTCTTCAAACAGGCTGTCCATCATCGGAGCTGGAGGCGGTCAGTCAGCCGGCGCGCCGCGCTCGAGACTGGTCTCGCCGGCTGTTCGAGCAACCTGTGCCTCGAAAAGAATTTTGCGCTGCAAAACCGAGTGGCTCGGGCGCCTCCCACAGTGTGGTGGTGTGGGCACACAAGATTTGGTTTTGTGCCGTGTGCGTGTGCCGACGCAACGCGGCACCCACCGATACACACACAACAACGTGTGCGCCTGGCGAGCCTGGCTTCAGACACGAGCGGCATGGAGGGGGAGGGCAACCTGCCCGGGGAATCGGACTCGCAAGGCAGTTATCCAGCATGCCAGAATGGTTTAGAACGGCGTAACAAGAGTGGGGGGCACCCGAGGGGGGGGGGGGGGGCTGCCAAACCCCTCCAGCTTCCTGCTCTCATCCGATGCGCAGAGCGATCAAGAACGCTCCATCTTAGGCGAGGCGAAGCATGGACCTGCGCCTCGAGAGCAGCAACCTTGAACTCGGCGGCCGCGAGCTTCTCCTCCATCGAAACGCCCGTGGTGGGAACCGGCGCCACAGGCTGGGCAGCATAGCGAGCGCCTGCAGGGACGCCTTGGTGGCGCTGCCGGGCAATCACCTCCTTGGTCTCTTGAAAGAGCGCGAAGGACAAGCAGCATGTGTGCACCCAGACGTCACCGCACGGTGTCTCCGGGAGGCGGTACGCCGCGCGGATCTCTTTGCGGATCTGGGCGCTGTGCGCCGCAGCCACGATCCAGCCGACATATGGAATGCAGTAGAGGCCGGTGAAGGTGGCGCACGCTGAGGAGTCACCAAAGAAGTCGCCGGGGACTCCTGTCTTGATCCGGTTGACGAGCTGTCCGTACGCGCACGGCGCGCAACAGAAGGTTTGGAGGCAGAGGCAATTGTCGGAGAAGCAGCCCTTGTCGGAGCAGCAGTCAATCAGCTGGTGCTGCCAGTCATCGTTGCCCATGTCGTTGCCGCCGGCCATGATGTGAGTAGAGACGCGAGTCGGATTTGCAATGGCGGTCCGCATGGGCACCGCGGTGGGGAGGGGCGTCGTGTAGTACTCGGCTGACATCGCACCGGTCCTTCTTCTCTCAGATTCTCTCCGTTGCGCGATCAGCGCCTCTTTTCATTATTGTAGTGCCCGCCGCGATGCACTCCGGACTTCAATGAAAAGAGGCGGCTGCATGGGGCGGGGTCCGGGGGAGCAGCGACAGAGGGCCTACCCAGGCACCTAACCCTAGTACTCTAAGCAAGTAAGAGTTCTGGGCCACTGGCTCTCTCTCTCTCTCTCTCCCCGAACTCTCGCGGGTGTGATGTATGTAGGAAGTGAAGAACAGTCAGGCTCGGTCGGACTGGACACCAACGCGGTATGGGTGGACGCGGGACAGATGACGACGACACGCTCGAGCGACACACAGACACACACAAGCTCACAGAGACACAGGTGTGAATGTGAGGAGTCCGACTGCTGAAGCGACCTGCAGCACAGCAGCACACCATCACCATGCCGATTACATCTACGAAGCAGGCGATCGCAGCGGGCAAGGCTATGTACGATGCCGACGACGACAACTATTTCGACCCCATGGACATGCGCGGTATCGGCTGGGACGATATTTGCGAGGAGCTCGAGGGCGCGGAGCTGCGCGACATGGAGAACGCGATTCGCCAGTACGAAGATATGGCCTATCGTACGAACGGCGACGCGACCGAGGCCGCGCACTTTTTCAACGGATATCTCAAACTCGCTGAAGACAAGCGCAAGAAGCAGGTGAAGCAGCCGACCCCGTCAGACTAGACGACATGCAGTGCCGCAGCCAAGATTTCGCGCAAGGCAAGCGACGAGTAAATGCGGGACGGCTGGGATATTTATCTCCAATAATCGGAATGGGCAAACAGAGACCGGAGGAATCGAATCCGATTCGCATTGGGCGATGTGAGCGTGGTCTCTGCACTCTGGTCTTGTGGTGTGCGGACAACGCAAAGTCGCATCAATCACGGTTCGCGCCACGGATACCGGACGCCAGCACACACGGCTAGATTTCAGGCGGGCCGCCTAGCCCCTGGGGTCGGAGTCAGAATCGGTTGGGTGGCGCGCAGGGCGCGGGCGGGCTTCGTTCGCTTTCGGGCCCGTGTCGCCTGGCGGTTGTGCCCGTTCGCCGCGTCAGCGGTCTGTGTGTTTTGCGTGATTTTTTGCGGGCGCCTACCGGCCGTCCACCTCGCCTAGGCCACCTCGAGCATCCACCGCGTCCGAACAGCCACGCAGAGCAAAATGGGCTGCTTGCTCGAGGCTGCTTGCTCGCGGCTCGCGCACTCCACCGCAGATTCCACACGCGCCGGAGTGCGAGACTCACACCCTTCGACTCGCGGTCTTCCAACTCGTGACCGACCGATCACTCCTGGGTGGCACTGCCACCGCCCACAGGATGAGGATCATATGATACGCTCCGAGGTCGGGGAGAGAAGAAGACGTTCGCCGCGAAACGAACTCGCGTGGGACTCGCGCACACAGCCAAGCCCCTGGGTGGGTGGGTGATGCCCGCGCGCCTCTCGAGCGGCGCCTCCCGCGGGGCGGCCTGGGACCGCGACGCTCTCGTGTCAGCTGCCCGCCACAGCACATGTGTGGTCCTCGACCAGTGCCGGTGCGACCTCACTCAGCGACTAGGGCGTGCCCTCGATGAGGAGGATGCAGTCATGCTGCTGCGCTCGTCCTCCTACTTTGAGCGCTCGCCAGCGTTGCTGGCTGCGACTGAGGCGCGGCGCGATGCGCTCGAGGCATCGGTGGCGGACCTGCTCGGCACCGCGTGGCGAGGCATCGAGAGCCTCCTCCACGACTCGCTCTCCACCCTCGCAGAGCGAGTAGAGCACGCCGCGCGCGAGGAGCTCTCCGAGCGGGTGATGACCACCAATAAGACGCTCTCTTTCACACACACGCTGTCAACCCGGCCCTTTTCTCCCGTGCTCCCTTCAGGGAGCACGTCTCGAGGCGGGCATCGAATTGACGCGACGGACCGCCGAGCTACGCGAGCGGCAGGAATGCGTGGTGACAGAGATGTGACCGGAGACGTACCGAGATCTTTCCAAGTTAATCCGAGTCACGTGAACAAAGGTGCGTGTGGAGAAGGCCTTTGCGGTACGGGACGCACTGGAGCGACGCGGCGCCAGCCTGGGCCTAGAGGGGTTGGATCTGGAGCGGAGGCGGCTCAAGGCTGCACTCGAGGCGAGTGAGCGCCGTCGGCGCGAGGCGGAGGAGGCTAGATGGAGAAGTTCTTTCCACCGTGTACGTGCACATCACACGCAACGCTGACAGTCGTGCGTGATGCTAGAGTGGAAACACACCCTAGGCGGAGGAGCGGGTGCACACCCTCGAGACGATGATTGCGCGGAGCAAGGCGGACAAGGCGAGGGAGTCGGCGATGAGGCAGCAGTGCGTGCTCGCTACGTCGCAGAGGCGACCGCTACATGCCGCGCCAGCCGCCCTGTCCGCAGCCTCCGGCTCCGGGGCGGCGACGAGTAACGGCAGGTCGCTGCCGCCGCCGCACGGTAGGAATACGACTGGTGCAGGACAGCAGCCTCTGAACGCGGCACCATCTCCGCAGCAGCGCGCGACGTCGCAAGCCCGACGCCCTCCCCAGGAGTCAGCACCGACAGAGGTGCAGTGGTGAATGAATCAATTGGCGCAACCATGCCAGGTCACCGGCCTGACCCGGACAGTGCAGTGTGCTATAGGCTTCGGGGTCGGGGTCGGGGTCGGGGTCGCGGCTGCCCGAAAGAGAGCTCGAGCTCGACGAGAGATTGGCCGAGAGGCTCGCGCAGGAGAGGCTGATGCAGCGGATGGCAGAGATGGAGAGGACTTGAGCCCTCGGAGGCAGGTGGCGTGGGACACACAGCTGAGATAGCTCTGGCCTCAACCACACCCTGTGAGCACAGCTTTCAGCAGGCTTGTTCAGTGGTCAGTGGATAGTGCAATGACCAATGAGCAATGTGCTTAACTCAAGGTTGTCTGTGATAGATGTGGTGAAAAATGTGATCGATGATGTGGTGTGACGATAAACGGGCACGCGAATTCCACATTCCACGTACTCAGCACGGATTCGGAAAAGACGACTTATGAAAGTCAAGACTTATGTCCACTCGCGCCGCGCCCGGGGGTGGGGCTTTGGCCATGCGCCGTCGGGCTCCCAGCTCTCGGCGGTCGAGAAAGGCTTCGCAAAGTCGCACGCGTGCGGCTGCGCCTGCGGGCCGAGGTCGTGCGACGCGTAGCAGCGCGGCTTGGAGCCCGCGTAGGCGCCCCCCCACCCCGGCGGCGAGAGGACGGCGCCGGCGCGCGGCGGGTGGAGGCAGCTCGCGTTGTCCTGCGTCAGGTATCCGCTCAGCCAGCCGTGCGAGAGCGCGTAGTGCCGCCAGAGGTCGTCCTCGCAGTCGATCCGCACTGCGCCCGGCTGCGGCGCCACGCGGAACGACTGCCGCTTCGAGTACTGCGTGAGCAGCTCCGCCATGAAGCCCGTCACCGCCGCCTCGTCCAGCGACGCCATGCGCGCGCGACCCGCCTCCGCCACGGCGCGCGCGTACTCGTCGTTGGCGCGCAGCCACTTGACGGCGGCGGGCACTTCGGCCGCCGTGTCGACCGCGTGGTAGTGCACGCCCGGCAGCAGGCCGTACTCGTAAAACTCCTTGTGGCGCATCCCCTCGCGGACGTATAGCACGACCGAGCCGCAGAGGAGCAGCGACTTGAACTTGTTCGCGTAGCCGATCGACGCCGAGTTGAGCAGGTACTTGTAGCCGCACTGGTCCTCGAAGCGCATAAAGCACTTGTGCTTTTGGTAGCCGCCCGTCGCGTGCAGCTTCATCTCCTTGCACGTCTGCGTGATCTTGCCTGCTCACAACACCGTGCCGAGGTCGCCGAAATGAGGAGCTGCATCTCGGCCGCATCTCGGCTGTGGTCTCGGCGTCATCTCGCCGTGATCGCCGATGAAGAGCTCATTCACAAACACCTCGCGAGGCGCTCGCTCCGCCACCGCCGCGAGTGCCTTGCGCCAGCCCGAGCCGACGTTGCCCGTGTGCATCGCTATCTCGAGCTTGTCCTCCCACCGAACCTGAGGGCGGCTCGATCTCGGCTCGATCTCGGCTCGATCTCGGCTCGATCTCGGCTCGATCTCGGCTCGATCTCGGGCGGTCTAGATGCGTGTCCCCCCCAGCGCGCCTTGCCGCCCGCCTCGACTAGCTGCGGGTGGAGCACGGACCACGGCGGCGTGCGCAGCTTGTGCGGCCTGTGCGGAAGGCACACCCCGCGCAGAGTCAGGACGCGTCCGGACACGCCCAGGAGAGTGCCGGCCGCCGTGTGGCCTGCGCGGAAAGTACCACGCAAAGTCGAGCCACGGCAAGTCCATCGTCGCCGCGTTGACCGTCGACGAAAAGATTGCGGGCGGGGCGGCGTTCGCGCCCCAGCGGCGGCAGGTGCGGCGCCACGCGCGCAAGTCGCCGGGCTCGGCGCGCGCGCGCGGCTCGTCGTTGGCGGCGACGACGACGTCGAGGTTGGGCAGCGCCTGGCGGTGGCGCGCGGAGGTGTCCCGGGACGTGTCCCAGGACGTGTCTAGGAGGTGTCTCGGAGGTGTCTCGGAGGTGTCTAGGAGGTGTCTAGGAGGTGTCTAGGAGGTGTCTAGGAGGTGTCTAGGACGTGTCTAGGAGGTGTCTCGGAGGTGTCTCGGCAGTGTCGCGGCTTTGTCTCGGCAGCGGTCTCGGAAGCGTCTAAGAAGCAAGCGCCGGGTGGCGCCGCAGCGTGGCGAGCAGCGGCATGATGCGCGCGGGCGCGTAGTGGCGGTCAAAGAAGATTGCGGCATAGTCGGTGACGTAGAGGCGGCCGTCGTGGACCTGCAGCCGGGCGCAGTACATGGCGGAGCCGTTGCACGCGGCGACCGCCGAGGCGAGGTTCTCCTGCGTCACGCTCGGCCACGGCTGCAGCAGGTCGCGCGCGACGCTCCTCCAATCCCAGTGCGCATGCGCGGCGAGAAGCGCCTTGGCGTCTGCAGGCTGAGCGCCGGCAGCCGCCGCGGCCGACAGCGGCGAAGTCGTGCTCGTGCACGATGCGAGCTTTGCTTCCATTTTGGCGTGCAGCTGCTCGTAGCCGTGCAGCCGCTGCTGCAGCACCGTGTTTGCGAGCCGGAGATGGTCGAGCTCCGCGTCGGAGGCCTCGCCCGCGGCGCCGCCGCCGGCAAACGCAAGCGCCGTGAGGCCGAGGACCATGGCAGCGGCGAGAGCCAGGAGGCCGAGCGACGAGCCGGACATGGGAGATGGTGTCCGAAACCCGCCCGAGGAGCGCGCGGGCTGCACGACCGGGCACGGCGAAGGAAGAGAAACACTGTGATTTTGGGCCGCCCGGTTTGGGCAACTTTTTCGATTGTTCACCTCTTGCGGTGCGAACACATCGGGATGTGTGGCAGCCCGGCTGGCTGAGTGTCTTGTGAGTTTTGTGTGTCTGTGCGTCACTCGCGCGTGCCGTCCTCTTCTCACTTTGTCTGTCTCGCGTCCACCCATACCGCGTTTTGACAAATCTGCAATATACCCCCACACGAGCAAATAGCCAAAATCCGAATACCGTGCACGAACTGGGCGATGTGGGATGCAAGCCTTCAGCTGGTGCCAAGACTTTTACGGGAGCACTGACATTCGTAAAATTGAAGCGAAGAATCCGCCAAATCCGTGCTTTCGCGCTACCTGAGGGGAAAGCCGCTGATCGAGCCCAGCGTGCCCGCGGCCGCCTCCCGCGCAGCACCGCCGCTGCGGAATCGGATCGATCCCATGGAGGAGGAGGGCGCAGTCGGCCAGCGAAGCAGGCGGAGTCCCTCCCCGCGCCGGAGCCCCCCTGCAGTCGAGGGAGTCCTCGTTGGCGATGAAGGTGGCGACATCGAATCGCGGCCGACACACGTCACGGGAGGAATGGGCGATGAGCGGGAACGATGCGCGCTACGACGCCGACTCCGCCGTGCTCGTGGCCGCAGAAAGCCGCGCTCCAGGAGCACGCCAAGATGCAATGGCTCGCTTGCTTCGATTCAGCTCTCTCGGCAGCAGAAGTGGGGCTGGAGCGGGTGGGGGTGGATGCCGATTGAGGGGGAGCGTCTCCAGCTGCGCCCTGTGGCAGCTGCGCCCTGTGGCAGCTAGTCGAGGGACTTGGTAGTTGTGACCCCCCTGAGTGAGGACAGGAGAGAGAGAGCGTTTTGTGGTGTTGGTGTACGCAATAACGGGACAGGGTGGTTGTTCTCTCTATCTTAGGGTGCCCACAGGGCCCAAAAAAAGAAAGGAAAAAAGAAATGGGCACCCCCGATCGCAGCACTTCGTGTTGGCCAGTCGAGAAATTGAGAGTGTGACTAGGAGGGTGGGACGCTGGGGATTCTCAAAGGTACACCCTTGGAATGGCCGGATCCAGCCTTAAAAGTACGAGATCGCGCGCGCTTCGCGCGCTGCACCGCCTATTCTCCGCGGCTGTGTGACGACGCGTGCCGTGTGCCAACAGAGTTGGGCGCGCGCGGCGCGACGGCGCCCGCGAGGGAAGGCGCGGGTGCAGCGGCCGCCGGCGGCCGTACCGCCCGCCAGCCGGCGCAGCAGCGGCCAGCGCAGCGGCCGCCGGCGCAGCAGCCAGATCAGCCGGTGCGCGCCTTGCGAGGCGAGTACTGCCGCCCGGCAGCCTTGAGGCGGCCGGGCGGCAGTACTCGTCGGAATGTTGCGAGCCGTGCGCGCGCCGAGGCGCGCGCGGCGCGCGCCCGCCCGGCTGCCAGTAGGAGGCGGCGCAATATGGCCTATAGTACAGCCCTTGAGGAGGAGGAAGAGGCTGGCTGGCAGTGCTGTATGCCGCCGAGGGGCAGTTTTGGGTACTGTCACGGGCCCAGGGGGCTGCAGAAGGCGTCCGCAGCCGGGACAACCCGCCCCCCCAGCCGAGGCCGGTCGAAGCCCACTTGGAGGCAGCCATGAGGAGTCCTCTGGGTGCTCCTGGCGCCCGTTGGAATGGCGAGCGCGCGCCGAGGGGGGGGGGGGGGGGTCTTGCTTGCTCCACACCGAGCGCCATCGGTCCGGACCGGTGCCTCCACCGAGGGGTGGCCTGCACAAGGTCTGAGCCGCGGGCGCTCGGCGCCAAGTGCAGTGTCACGCTCGCGCTCGCGCGTGACAAACCGGGGAACCCTCGTTTCCTATGTACTCGGTCCCCCAACGGAAGAGGCCTCGCTCCTATTGGAACTGGCCAACATCAGATTTGCCTCGTGCGTCCCTTTTTGAGTCGGAAAGCTATTTTCTTTTGGGTCCTGTGGGCACCCTATCTATCTCCTCTTCTAGCTCTTAGCATGAGCTGCGCCCGGTGTCCGACCCCTTTTGCGCAGCAACACCTTAAACTTTTAGGCCCTCCAAATTCGGGTCGGAGCGTAGCGGAGTGGGCCCCGAGTTTGAAAAAGGGCGACGGACGCTTGCGTCCTAGCCTCCAACAACGCCTCCCCGGCGCAGAGGGGCCCCCGGAGGGATGCACAACCGCTCCACGCCACGCCGCTTGCGGCGGTCCTCTTCCCAGCTCCGCTGAGGGCCGCGCGTTATTTCTTTTTGGTCGAGTCCGCCCGCTCGGCCACGGGCGCGGAGCTGATCCACGCCTGGGCACGGCTCGCGCGATGGAGCCTGTCGCTGACATTTCCCCCCCGTCGTGCTTCGCCTCCTGCTCTGAGGTTGTCCGCACGCTTCGCGCCACTGGCGCTTCCGCTCCGCCGCTCTCCGAGAAGCTCCGCCTCACACGCCGGCTTGCACGTGCCGGCGAGCGCTGCCTCTTTCCGCATGCCCGCCGCTTTGCGCTGCAGTGGCTGTGCGGCGCCCTCCGCGGCGCCCGGCCGCGTTCAGAGGCGGCGTGCTGGCAGCTTCTGGGCGAGCTGATTGGGGTCGACGGGATCGCTGGCTCCGATACTGCGGAGGACGAGACAGCCACCGCCATCCCGTCGCCACCAGCCGACCTGGCGGCGCAACTGGCGCAAAGCACGCGGCTGCTGCTGCAGGCGGCGAGCGGTGCGTTCGGCGCGGCTGCCGGCATGCCCGACTCCGCCGCCTCTTGCGACGGGGCGGAGGCCGCCGTCGTGGCGCGCCGAGAGGCGCTCGCCGCCGCGGCTCAGCGGGTGATGCGACGCCTGCTCTGCGAGCTTCCGGCCGATTCGGCTGGCGGCGCCTTCCACCCCGAGCCGGAGGCCCTCGCAGCGTACGTCGGCTCGCTCGGCGCCGCTGTGGCGCACGCACTCGCCTCGCTCGCCGCCGCCGGTGGCCGTCCGAGCGGCGCGGGCGGCGGCCTCATCAGCGCCTGCGACCCTTCTCGGAGCCTTCTCGGGACCTCGTGTAGGCGCGCAGCTGCGGACGGCCTCCGCCGTCGCAGCCGCGGCGAGAGACGCAGTGTCTGCCCTCTCGGGCATGCGCCGCCGGCTCGGGCACCGCAAGCAGCTGCTGCTCGTGGCGGGGAAGGCGCTGCGAGATTACACGAGATTGCACGAGATTACATGAGATTAGAAGAGATTACAGCTGCTGCTCGTGGCGGGGAAGGCGCTGCGGCCGCTCCTCGACCTCGCCGCCGCCGCGGGGCGCTGGGTGCAGGCGGCGGAGGCGGCCGAGGCGGCCGAGGCGGCGTGGGAGGAGGCGGCGGTGGAGTCGGCGGCCGAGGCGGCCGGTGCGGCGCTGACGGTGCGGGCAGAGGACGTGGTAGCGGCGGCGGCGCTTAAGGCGGAGCCTCGTGCGATGGTGTGTTCATCTCTCGGTGGTGTCTCGGCCACATCTCTGCCGCACCTCGCCGCAGGCGCAGCTCCGCGAGACGGTTCGCGCGGTGGCGGCGTGCGTCTTCGCGTCGCTCTTTGACAAGAGCAGCACGCGCGAGTACGCGGCACTGCTGCAGGCGAGAGGACGCGAGACGCGGATGGCTCTGCCAACCGGGCGTCCTCACACCTCAGCGTGTGGACAGGCCCGCCGGGCTGCGGCCGCCGAGTACGGCCCTGCACTCGCGCCCCAAGGCACCGCTCCCGCGGCCAACGGCAGCGCCGACGCCGATGGCGCCGACGCGGCCTCAAGGCCGCCGCCCGCAGCAAAGGCGCCATTCAGCGAAGAGCGCGAAAGAGCGACGCCGTGCCGGCGCGTCCCACAATATCGTACCGTCTCCGCGCTCTCCCCCGCAGGCGCAGGCGGCCAAGAAGCGCAAGCGCGGTGCCGAAGCAGC